TTGTATTTTGTTTCCAGGTGATCCAATACAAGCTCCTATGCGTGATGTACCATACTCCCTCATGCAATCAGTGGACAGATGGCCTCCAGGCCAAATCTGATGGCCCAGATGGGAGATCTACCATATGCCAAAGTCAATGTGCATGTGTGGAATCAGAAAGTCAACCAGGCTTGCAACGTTAATGGGCCTTGAAGATTGCAGATCTCACCCCCTGATCAGGCCCAAAACCCCCCTTTGAGTATTTCTAACTATTTCTTTTTTATTTTATTTATTTATATTGTTTATTTAATTATTTTCATTATTATTTTTAATCACCAACCAATTAATCTTTTTCTTAATAAAATAAAAAAAAACCAAAAAAACATTTTAGTTATTAAAATTAAATTCAGCATTTTATTTGTGTAAATAAATACTAACTTAATTAATTTAGTTTAATTAGAGAATAACTTTTAATATTGAATTTTTTTTTATTAATAACCATGTATTAAAATAATATTTCGCAAATAACCGGGTTTCGGAAAAAATTACGCAAATAACCATGTTTCAGATGACTCCACAAAGGAGGAGCCATCTCACTTGGCGCCTCCACCTAGGGTTTTGCCCTAGGCGCCATCTCACTTGGCGCCTCCCTTGGATTTTAGCCAAGTGAGATGGCACATGCTCCTTAAAAATGAGAGGAGGCGCCATCTCACTTGGCTCCTAGGGCAAAACTAGGGCAAAATGTTGTTTTATAAATAATTCGTCTGTTTCTCCGAAATTTCTCACACTTTCTCGCACTGTATTTTTATTTTGTACTCCGTTATTTGCATCATGACGTCGCCTATGATTTTTAGCAGAGATGGTTACGTTATATTCTCCGCCACGAAACCTGCGATGAAAATGAAATTCTGGCACATTCACTCCATGGAGCGTCTGAAGCGGGAGTTGATGCGGTGGCTAGATGGAGACATCGCGGAAGGGGAAAAAATTCGAAGGATCCAGCGAAAACGAACAACAACCTCACATGCGACAGGAAGACCTAATGTGTGGTTGGAGGAAGTCAAAACAGACAGTGATGTAATGCTGATGATGCATGGGTCAGATGAAATTGTGTTAACAGTTGTAATTTCCTAGATTGAATATCGTCAATTATTGTTGTACGCGTTTTATTAACTGTAGCAAAATCTGTTAACGGAAAACCCAAATGTTTACAACACAAATATTGAAAAGATTTTATGTATTACAATATTTATGTGGTCGAGCCAGACGCCCGATTCGGACAGTTTTTGCGATTGTGTCCGACCTGACGGCATAAACCACACTTTCTTTCCAACCTGTCAAGATCGTCCATTTATGTTGTGATGTGCCTACTTTTGGGACGACCCTTCTTGTTCCTTCGCATTTGGTCATTGTGCCAAACTATATCGCCGTTGTATTCAGGCCAATAATCCGGTTTTTCCACCAAAGGAAAGTTGTTGTTGTAAACAGTGAGCAACGTTTCAGATTTGTAAACGTTTGACAGCAGTTGAAGCGCGTCTTGATGGGTATGAGCACAAGCGGAAATGACATAAGAGCAAGGCATACGAAATGCTTGAAACCTGCCACAATCGCACCATTGAGAAGGTAAAATGATCCTGTATTCTTGTCTTGGCAGGCCTTCATTGTGGTCGATTGTCTCTTTCACAATGAAGTTGTGGCTGTGTCGGTCAAACCGTATAACCATGTGAGTGTTGGCTTTAGCACTTTCAGCCTTAATGTATTTCATACAGCTTTCACTCCATAGTTGTCCAGATTGCAACACCGCATTCCACATTTCACCTCTTTTGGCAAATAACGCAGCCATCCTAAAATACGTAGATTTTACCAAGGCAGTGATTGGGAGGTTTCGTATGCCCTTGAATACCCCATTCATTGATTCAATAAGATTCGTTGTCATATGCCCCCCCATCTTTGGCCATTGTCGTATGACCTAGTCCACTTTTCCACCGGAATATTGTCGATCCACCTACCGGCTTCTGGATTAGACAAACGGATCTCGTTGCGGTAATATTTGAATGTGGATTGTGTCAATGCATATCCCGCATTCATAACCGCTTTCCTCAATGTTTTGTCCTTGACCTCCCTCGAGAAATTCTGGACGATATGCCTGACGCAATAGACATGCGTAGAAGGAGGGTCATGCCAACCATTTGCTGGATTATTGTAGGCACTTTCAATGGAGGCATGTCTGTCCGAGTTCAAACAGAGATCTGGTTGAGGAGCCACGTGTGTCCGAAGATTTTTCAGGAAAAAGCTCCAAGTACCACCGTACGCAACAAAGTAAGTCATCAAGTTATAGCATTTATAACTATTCTGCTCTTCCCAAAATATATGCTAAGAATAACATGTTTCTCATTTCCTTTAGGTACTGCGTGAGGGGTATGGATTACGGCAAGAATCCAAGATTCAATGTCGCACTCTACCGCAATTTGTTGGATCACTTAGGCCCAGATGACGTACGTCGTAGCTTTTAACTTTTGTTCGTTTAAATTATTTATACATTACTTTTGCGCTAACCTGATTTAAATTTTATCGCAGTTCGTCTGGAGACCATATTTGGGTTTGGGCCATAATCCAAACCCAGAGGATGCATCAACTTGGACTGCAAAGACTGCAATCATTCGGTTCAACATTGTGGAGATGCACCACAGCGACCGTGTGAAGATGCAGTTCGGAATGCATCAAGAGATACCAAGTGATCCAACAGATTTATCCCCATGGCATCTTAAAAGGGTCGACGCCCAGTGGGGTCTTACCAACTGGAAAGACTTCGCTCCGGAATGGTGTAAGATGTGGCAGAGGCGTCACTGCTACGTCTTGCAATTCCCGGTTTTCCTTACTCAAGGTAACATGCGACACACGGATCAATATTTATCGTGGTACAGGTCGGTTAGTAACCCAGAAATGCACGTGTCTCATCCGAGGTACTTGGTTGACCCACGCACACAATAGGCACAACCCTCGATTCCCCATCAACAAACCCAAAACCCATCAACCTCCCACCAACACCCAAGAAGAAACAAACCCACAAACACCCAACCACATTCCCCACCACAACACAACTACAATCAAATGTCGTACAACCAACCACAATCACCACCAAACTACCAATACCCCGATATGCCTCAAACCCAACCACAATACCAACCCCAATACCAGCACACCCACATACCCCACACACAATTTCAGTCTTCCACATATCCCAATATGGCGCCCTCAACATCCAGCTTTAGCCCTGATATGGGAATGTCGGAAGATTATGACCAAGCCGACCAAACCTACCATCACCCACCATATCACCAAACCACCCAACATCCTCAATACCAAACACCCCAAGATCCATTTCCTTTCTACCCTCCGTACTCAGACGACCAATGCTACAGACCAACCATGGAACCCCACCCACCGCCAACACGACCAAACTTTGAGGGTATGGGTAACCGACTGTACCAGAGTAGATCTTCTAGATATGGAGATCTGACTGATTTTATGGATTCAGACCGCATTGACTTCGCTGGACCATCGACCTTGCCGCAGCAGGAAACGCGACGACACCCAGCAAGAGAAAGGCGAGGACGGGGATGCGGAGCCGGGGGTCATTACCGGGTTCCGGGGGATCACTGATGTATCTTTTTTTTTCCCAGTATTTTTGTATCCATTTTTTTTACTGTTATTTTAATGTAATACAGTTGGATGTAATTATTTTTTTTTAATAAAAAGTCCATTTTGTTGATCTCTGTCCAACAGGCAATGCACAGGAAAAAAAATATAAAAAAAATTTGTTTTGCCCTAAAATAACACTTAGGCGCCATCTCACTTGGCTTAGGGCATGCCCTAAGCACATAGGCGCCAAGTGAGATGGCGCCTCCCTTAAAAAAAGAGGTGCATGCGCCATTTCAGATGGCTCCTCCTTTGGGGAGTCATCTGAAACATGGTTATTTGCGTATTTTTTTCCGAAACCCGGTTATTTGCGAAATATTATTTTAATACTTGGTTATTAATAAAAAAAATTCTACTTTGACCACCCAAATGAAATAAAACCCTTTTCCAAACAAGGTGAATTTTTTTTTTTTGAAGTTGTGAATATTTGTTATCGAAGCATAAAATGAAAGCTGGGTTTTTTGTAATAAAAACAAATTGTAATATTTAGTATAAACTAATTATATTAAGGTAAATTCTTGGTTATTCTTTGTAAATTTATGAGTAATTTACTCTCTTATGACGTGCATCAATCGAATTCTGTGTAAAATTTTAAAATCACATATTAATCTAAAACCATAAAGAATTAAAATAAAATTAAGAAAAAAATATATAATCTAATTTTTTTAGTAGTAATATATTGGAATATCACGTGTGAGTAATGATTCTCACATTAGATGGAAAAAAAAAGATATTGAACTTTTTTTTATGTGCGAAAAGACATAAACCCAATATCTTAAGGTTTTGGGTTAATATGTGATTTTAAAAATTAATTTTATGTGGTAAAATTTCATCGATATAAGTCATTAAAGATAAATTATCCCTAATTTTGTAAGGGATAGCCTAGGTCTCACCTTATATTAATAAAAGCATTACATGAAAATACATAAGAATTAATTATATTACTATAAATTTAATAAATTTCTAAATATTACTTCTATACTGTCAACTTTAATATAATATGTTGATGATTTATTTCACTTTAGAAGAAATTATCATTATTACTGAATAAGTACTTACAAAAAAAGACAAAATTTTTAGAATAACATCTAATTAGAAGAATCATAAGAATGAAAAAAAATTATTAATATTTATAGTGTGTAGGAAATAAGACGGGAACATGTTGAAAGTTCGTATCGTGTTTATTAGACCTTGTAGTTATACAAAAGAGTCAAATCACATTACATTCACACCAATATTCAAAAACTTAATAAAAAATTGATTCTAGTAAAAACTTAGTCATTAGTTTGTAATGACATAGAAATACAACAAAAGAAACAACTCTAGAGAAGAACACCCTTAACACTTGGTGGTGGGACCTTCTTCCAAATAACATTAACAAGATCAACGAATAACTGAAACTGAATAGCTGCATAGTATGTGACGGGCAAGAAAATGGAAATATATAAATAGAACAAGATACTTCCCTTTGTATATTCATCTGTGAGCACAAAGAAATGTCCAGCACAGAAAGAAACAAGCATAGCAACAACGGATACGAAGAGAGAAATCAAGCCAAAAAGAAGCTTCATTGGCAAGTTTAGACGAAACTCTTCGAGTTCTTTTGGAGAAGTGAGTATAGAAAGGAAAATTATGAGTGCAGTGACAGAGAAGTAAAGTCCAATTAATGAGGATATAGCAAATCCTTCAAATGCAGGTTGTCCTTTTAATGTTGGTTCTCCTGTTGGCTTATTGCCACCAGGTATATTGCTTGATGTCGCAAAGGCAACACCCGCAATAAGAGCTGCTACTACTGAGTATGACTGTGTTGTGTCTTTCAACCAATCAACACTTTTTTGTAGAAGTTCTTTGTGTTCCTCCTTAAATATTTCACTTGGGGTTTTTCTTTCTTTGTTGTCTTTATTACTGAAATGCTCTGGTACTAGTTCTTTTATGTACTATACCAAAAAAAAAAAAAACATATAAAGACATAGTGATAAGAAATTATTAAACTCATAAATCTCAAAGTTTGTTTTGCAAGTTCTGTGTAGGTTAGCAACGACTTAGTTGTTACATAACAATGAGTGACCCTATTTAACCATGGTTTAAGTATCAAAATTTTCTTGCGACCATATTTAGCCATAGTTTAACCTTGGATAATTTGGAGATCTACTCTGAAAGTCAATTTAAATTAAATTATAAATGTACCTGGTACCACTTGATGTCCCAAGTCAATTGCATGGCAGCACCAGATAACCTCCAAGTATTTTTGCTCTGGAATGAGGTGTATGCTGCCAAGTGTAACATGGTATTCTCATTTTTATCAATTTGTAAATTTAGGATACCAAAGTCTCCTTTAGATAAACTATTAAGCAAGAATTGAATAACAAGTGGTTGCCTATTCTTTACTCCCAAAAGCAATGCATTTTCATTGTTACTGTTAGTCTCAAGGATCACGCTTCTTATATTTGATTTAAGTGCTCTCATCATCTCAATTATTCCAAAACTTGCTGCAATCAAATATGCTGTGTCCTTTAAAACATTTTCCTCTTCTGATAATTCTGTTTTAATATTCTTCATTGCTATAAGTAACAAACCCTTTTGATCGGATGTAATCGATACTTTAGCATTAAGCTCTTCCATAATTTCTTTTATGCCACTTTTCGCCGCTGCCAAAAATGTTGTATCTTTTACATCCATATTTGGTGAATCTTCTTTTGTATTATCCATTGAGGCATCACCTGCAAATATACAAATAATTGATTCTTTAGATTTTAATCATATTGTTATCTTCTTTTGTTGTTTTGTACTTATTTTTATTTACCTACTCCCCGTGCGACCTTGATGAACTCTTGAAAATGTTTTGAATCATCATTGATTTCGCAATCATAGTTTTTGTCAGCATATGGAGTCTCTCCACCACCCATGTATGACCCATAAGGCTCCTTCATAAATTCTTTAAGGAGCTGACCACCATATATGTGCTTCTCCTTAATAGCCTTTATTTCCTCTAAGCCTGCAATATTATTTCAGCAAAAGAACACTTATATATAGAACATTTCTCATACTTGTTCACTATAAATGTAGACTTAAATCAAATCATGTAAAAAATTTAAGTTTCAAGTGTTCAATATACATACCCAATAGTGACATGATTGGCCATCTCAATACTAACTTTAGAATGTGGTGACAAGATTGAGCAAGAGACTTTAGAATGTGGTGACAAGATTGAGCAAGAGAACGTCGTTTTGTGTATGTCTTTTCTAATTCGTCACCAATGTATAAAGTTACTTCACAATAATCTTCCTTCTCTACAATATTAGCATGTCTTTAGTAAATAATAGTGAGCTCTATTAAATAAAAAATCTAACTTTGTTATTTCCTTTGATCAAAATTAAAATGAAAAATGGAGGAGAAAATGAAATTGAAAAGTAGACCGTACTTAATGAACTTATTATTAGGTTTATGTTAAAATTCCATATCGATTAAGAATGTAACAAATGTTAGGTTTATAAGAGAGGTGATTCATACTCCAATTTTTTTTATTTTTAATTTTAGGTAGATATGTATCGTTAATGTCTCTTGTAACCATTAACGAATTTCCCTCTCCGAACTATTCGGCCACTATAACCACTAGAATTCGGTAAAATTTTAGATGTTGCGAAATTTTGATCACTAATAATTTTTGTTTTTTTCTCTATTTTTCTAATTCTCTTTATTAAATTTACTAATGATAATTAGTAACACATTTGAATTTTTATTAATATTAATAACATATAAAAATTTCATAATAAAATTATTTTTGTTTTAATTATATAAATTAATATATATGACAAATAGTATAAGAGAATATTTAAAATATCATATGAAATTTCAATTTGTTTATGATATATATCTAAGTTTCACAAAGATAACAATCTAAATGAAATTGTGTTCAGGAACTCAAGTAAAAAACAGGAGGACGGCAGTTCAAATTCATTATTGGTTACAACAAACTATAACAGATCATACAACTAACTGAAAGTTGTTATAATAGACGATAAAACTGTAAAATAACTACAACTACGCTATCATATATAAACGAAGTCAATAATTTTGGAAAAATAAACATGAATAGTATAAATAGTTCAAGAATTTAAAACACTAAATAATAATAGAAAATTCATCCTAAGAGCTGGTTCATCGAAAGCGTACCATTATTTGCATATTCTTTAGATAACTCCTTCATTGTAGTTTCTGCGTCAAGTTTACGAATAGGATAACCTTTGACACCAAAATTTTGTAAACAACATTAATGTTTTTTCATGAAGACCTACTACCACTCTTTTTTATAAAATCCATAATTGTGTCACTTACAGTAGTACAAAATTAGCTTCCACCATGATAACCTACTACCACTCTTGAAGGCTGATGTCTTAGTAGCAAGAGTTTTGAGAGGAGTTGCACCATCTTTGTCCTTTAGAGAGCTAAGACTTTCGTAGCTATAAATTATTATAATTGCCAAATCTGCGTGCACAAGAAACATAACTTTTCATTATTAACCGGTCGTAAAAAAAATAAGAATAAAGAAATAAAGAAATAAAGAAATAAAACTAACCAAACATTTCTCTCTGAATGGCAACATGAAGGATGCTAGTATTATTCCTATTGATTGCAATACTGAAATCGGTAGGATAAAATTGTCGTAGGTAAAGAAACACTATTGTTTGACGTTCTTGCACAGCCCAAAAAAGCGGTGTTTCTCCATTCTCATTTTCCACTTGAATCAAATATTTCCTTTCACCATCTCTTCCGATTATCAATTCACACATATCTTTGTATCCTGCATTTGCTGCAAGGTGAAGAGGAGTAGCACCTCTTTCATTTATCATTCTCAAACTAGTTTCATCAAGATGTTTTATTATTTCTTTTACAAGACATTTCACTACTTCTTTGAGTCCACTGCTTACTGCCACGTGTAACGCTGTTCCTCTTCCCTTGATTTCTATCTTGTGAAAATAACTATCTTCTTCGAATTTTTCAATTACATCTGGCCAATTTTCATCCATTACTAGCTGACTGAACCTCATAGCTGCATAATTTCATTTTGCAACTTGCCTTAATTAATAACAAAATGTAAAGATGCTATTGAGTGGTAATATATAAGCAAAGTCTAGTCTTACCTTCTTCAGAATTAGAAAATTGAGCTTCGCTTAGGGTGGAAAAATTATATGCCATTCTTAAAGATTGAAATGCAGAATGAAAGCCTAATTTTCTTATATAAGGAAAAAAAAAAATAGAATCTGATACTTAGGAAAAACATTGAGCATACTCTCTTCTAAACGAGTTTCACATTTGGAGTTTCACTTACCAACAATATTTTTATTCCTTTCTTCAACTTTGCAGCTTTTGAAGTGTGTAAGAAACATATAATATTATGACAAATGAAAAGTGCAATATGCTTACTGCTCAGTGAGACTCAAGCTTAAGCAAAAGCTATTACGTACCTTCTTTTATATTTTACGTTGGTCTCAAGTAAAAGCTACCTTTTTTCTGTTAGAAGTAATTCATATTCAGAAGTGGTTGATTAGAATCAGAAGTTTCTATTGTGTTACTCAGAAGCAATAAAGCTTTTGAGGTTGTTAGTCAGATGTTGTTATTAGTCAGAAGTAGAAATTTTTGAGGTTACGCTCAGAAGTATGCTTAACTTCTGGAATTCTGAAGCTGAGTTTGTTAGCGTAGCAGTTAAGTTTAGTATTTCTTAGTTTATATCTTTAAACTTAGTTATTAAGTTTATTTTTATTAAAATCTACGTGACAATTTACTTTGTGTATAAATAAACTAGTAGTAGCTGTCATTTCTAACAGTAACAATAACAACAATCATTTTCCCCTACAACTTTATAACCGTCATTGCATAATTTTAATATTATTGTCTCTTACCTTTTCTTCATTTATTAAACTTGTGCACCAACACTTTTCTTTACTTAAGTCTTGATATAAGGCTTCTAATATCTGTTCGTGTAGAATCCAACACTATAAAGCACAAAACTTGATATCGAGATCTGCAATATTAAATTCATACTAAATACATTAAGCCAATGTTAAGCACACTAAATGCGCCCTGTTTTGTCCTTTCTTACTTTTACAAATGTTAACTCAATATTTTTGTAAGTGTTTGTTGACAGCAATTTTGATAAAACAATGACATGTTAGTGTTTTGCTAAATGTCTTAACATTTGGAGCAAAACTGTTGTGAATGATGTCAAAACAGATGTCTTGACATCTGCCTACTAAACCGATCTCAGCCTAAAATCAGTTAAGTCTTTTGTTTCCTGTTTTCATGTGTGGCATAATTCAGGATTTGTGATCTACATGTTGCGAAAAACATGGAGGAATATTTTTTAAATTGCATAATTTTATCTTGGCCTATTTTTATGGAAATATTCAAAAGATTTGAATATTTGTTTTTAAGCCCAAACCCAAAGCTTCGCATATATAAGGACTTGTTTCCTTATTCAAAGACAAGCAACTTTTAAATAAGAATACTTTTTTCTGATTAAAAGTCTAGGCTTTTTATTTGTAATACACTCTAAGTACTAGTTTAAATACTTGAGTTGTTATTTGAGTTGTTAATTGTGTATCATTCATAAACTTTTAAGCATTGAATGATTGAAGTGTTTCAAACTTATTAATTTTGTTAAGTTCTTCACTGTAAGTGGTTGAAGGGATTTGAGGATGGTCTCATACCTAGGTGAGTCTTAGGTAGATGTTTAGCTTGGGTAGTGATTAAGTGATTAGATCGTAAACTAGTTGTTTACTGAGGGAGGGTCTATGAATTGATACTATTTAGTGAACTTGTCCCTGGTTTGGTAGCCCCTAGAGTAGGTCTTGTTGTACACTGAACTGAGTGAACAATCTCTTGTGTTTTTACTGCTTTTGATTTTACTGCACCTTACTTGCAAACAGATATTTGTGTCGTGACATCTCATTAGACATCACATATCTGATACCAAAATTTCAATTGGTATCAGAGCAGACATCCTGCTCTTTATTTGGGTGAGATCCAGGGAAGATACTTTCTGGTACTATGGACAAGGAAGGAGGATTTGTAAACAGACCATCCATTCTGGATAGAAGCAATTATGACTACTAGAAACCGCATATGGTTTCCTTTTTAAAGTCCTTAGACATCAGGGCTTGGAAAGCTGTTTTAAGAGGATGGAAACACCCTGTCAAATTGGGAGAAAATGGAGAACCTACTTCTGAATTAAAACCTGAAGAAGATTGGTCTAAGAAAGAAGATGAAATTGCTCTTGGAAATTCTAAAGCCTTGAATTCTATATTCAATGGAATTGACAAAAACATTTTCAGGTTAGTGAATACATGTGAAGTTGCTAAGGATGCATGGGAGATTCTTCAATCTACTCATGAAGGCACATCCAAAGTTAAGATGTCAAGACTTCAGTTACTCACCACAAAATTTGAGAATTTGAGGATGAAACATGATGAAAGTATAAATGACTTTCATATGAACATCCTTGAAATTGCTAATGCCTCCAGTGCTTTAGGAGAGAAAATATCTGAAGACAAATTGGTGAGAAAGATGTTCAGGTCTCTTCCCAAGAGATTTAATATAAAAGTAACTTCTATAGAAGAAGCCCAAAACATTGACAAAATGAAAGTGGATGAACTTGTCGGATCCATTCTAACATTTGAATTAAGCATAAATGAAAGATCTGAAAAGAAAACTAAAACCATAGCCTTTGTATCTAATATTGAAGATGAAGAAGAGGACTGTGATCTGGATACAGATGAAGGAATATCAAATGCTTTAGCTATGCTTGGAATACAATTTAATAAAGTTATAAAAATAATGGACAGGAACCAAAGATCAAATGTCAAGAACATCACATCTGATATCTATAAGTCAAATGAGGTGGGAAGAAAAAGGGCTGAAGAGAAATCTTCTCAAGGGAAGGGAATACAATGTCATGATTGTGAAGGCTTTGGTCATATTAGACTTGAATGTCCTACATATCTAAAGAAACAGATGAAGAATCTATCTGTTACTTGGTCTGAAGAGGACTCAGAGAGTGATCTTGAAGAATCTTCCAAATATGTTAAAGCATTGATAGGTAAATATGTATCTGATGAAGAGTCTAGTGATTGGGAACTGACTTTTGATGAGTTAGCTACTTGATACAAAGAATTATGTCTGAGAAGTGCAGAAGTGTGTCTTGAAGGGAAGAAACAGAAAGCCATCATAACTCAGCCGAAGGAGGAAAGGGAAGAGCATCTTAAAACTATTCCTGATCTGGAAAGTAAAGTGTCCTCTCTAAATTTAAATCTTGATAGAATGGTCAAATCTCTTAAGATGCTGAATAATGGGTCCAACTCATTAGATGAAATTCTCCAAACAGGAAGAGTGACAGGAGATAAGAGTGGTTTAGGTTTCAATGAGAAAAAGGAACCTAACTCAAAAGAGCCTTCATATGTTTCTACTCATGCCAAGCCTAAACCAAAGATGTTGAATCAAATGTCTCAACATGTGGGAAAACATCATGGTAAGAAAGGACATCTTGGCAATCATCATGTGAAGAAAGAACACCATGGCAAACAACCTTCATCTGTTTCCACTCATGTCAAGCCTAAACCAAAGATGTCGAAGCAAATGTCTCATCATCATGATAAGAAAGGACATCTTGGGAAACCTCATGTGAAGAAAGGACATCATGGAAAACATCAAGGGAAGAAAAAGCTTAATCACACCAGGGAGAATCCCCAGCCCTGGAGATGTCATCACAATGGAAGGCTTGGACATATAAGGCCCTTCTGTTTCAAGTTGTATGGATACCCTAAAAATTCTCCTCTTCCCAAAACTGATAAGATTCCCCAAAATCAGAAAAAGGAGAAACAATGGGTTCCCAAGTCCAAGGTTGGTAGTTTCATTGCTCACACCTCTCTCATAGTATCAACCAAAGATGACTGATACTTCGACAGTGGTTGTTCTAGACACATGACAAGTGTCAAGAATCTGTTAGTGGATGTCAAATATCATTCCACCAGTTATGTGACTTTTGGTGATGGAGCAAAAGGGGAAATCAAAGGTGTTGGCAAGCTTGACTGTTCAAGAGTTCCTAAACTTGATAATGTGTTACTTGTAAAAGGGTTAACAGCTAACCTAATAAGCATAAGCCAACTATGTGATCAAGGATTCAAAGTTAACTTTTCCAAGGAAAAATGTCTTATGTACAATGAAAATAATGAAGTTATCATGAAAGGAATCAGATTTAAAGACAATTGTTATTTATGGGTTCCTCGAGAGTTAAACCTCTCCTCAACATGTGTTTTAGCCAAAAAAGAATGAAGTTAAACTATGGCACCAAAAATTGGGGCACTTGCATCTGAAAGGTATGAAGAGAATTATATTTGAAGAAGCAGAGAGAGGGATTCCTAAGATCAAGATAGAAGTGTTAGACGATGTGATCAATCTAGAAGGGGGATTGAATAGATCGTTTAAAATAATTTGCGCTTTTTAAAATTGTTTTCTGAAAAATGTGTGAAAGCTTCCTGGAATCTCTAATCGTCTAAACGATCGTCTATTGAAAAGATCGGATATGCATAACCGTATGGGATGTAATGACAAAATAAGAATCAATGCGTTTTACTCAATTGATCAATCACTTATACACCCTCAATGATTATTAATTACTACCAATGCGTTGAATGAGATAAGGATAAGCACAATGAATAATTTGTGGATTAGTCAATTTGTCAAACACCTTGTGAGCAAAGTACCTTAGGTTTGGTTTTACTAAATTCTAGTGGTTAGTTTTCTTAGGTATCAATCAAAAGGATTGTTAACAATGTTTTGAAATGAACTCAACACACTACAGTTTCAATAAATGCATATTTGACAAATTAATTTTTGCACAGTATAGTAATCAAGTATAGGGATAAAGAAAAAGCAGAAGAACACACGATTTGTTAAGGAAGTTCCCCTCATCGTCTTCGGGTAGGGTACGTCTACCCCCAATTCTAGAATCTATAATTGAGATATTTTATATTAAGTTGAAAATGATACAAGAGAAGAGATAGTTCACAATACAAATAAATCAATGTTGCTGATGTAACAATCTTCTTCCCTTTCCTAGGTTTAAGCAAAACCAAGTTCCAAATTCATCGAACAAACCTCTGGTTACCTCTACTTGATTAAGCAAGCCCACCATTTCTTAA